ACACACACACACACACACACACACACACACACACACACAAAAGCTGTTTGATCCTGTTTTCCCTTTATCTTTACCCTTTGTAGTGTGTACACAAAACTATCCTAGAACATTATAAACATTTGAGATCTTCCAGATATGTATAAACGTTTTACATTTTCTCGCACTGTCCCCCTCGCACCTGCATGCCGGAGGAGGGACTAAACAGAGACATAACCTCACATTACAGTGTATAGTGCAGAACTACAATTATCTACCAGCAAAATGGCCAAAAGATATTCTGCTCAGAGAGCCTTGGAGCTAATAATGGATGAGAGTGAGTGGAATGCATTAGAAGAACTTCATCAATATATTTTTCGGATATACTGTATTTTATGAATAGTGACTGTTAATTGTTTTTATTTGCTTTGTGTTTATATCTGTTTTACTGTATGTCATTTATATGGATGTTTCATCATCTCTATATATTTCACAGCCAAATACTTTTGGATGTGTGGTTCTTGTGTTTCAATTGCTGTTAAATTGCTTTATTTCCTTCAGGGCTTTGATTATTATATGACAGATTAAAAATAATAAACATTAATGAAAAAATGTTTCATTTACATTTGTCCTAGAAAAGCAAGAGAAAAATGTAAACCTACCTTTTTATTACAGTGTATATTTTTTTAACATAAATTACATTTTTATCACAAAAAACGATGGACACTTCCATTGTTAAATTTGATCTAGCAAAGAGTATTTTCAAAAACGAATCATATATTTCATTTATATTGTTGGGGAATGAGTTAAAGACAATATATATAAGGAATTGTGCATGTTGAATTTTGTTCTGTATTTTTTTTAAACCCTGAAACATGTCCCGGGTCAATTTGACCCGAACATTACCAAAGGGTGCGAAATGTGAACATAACACAAAGATGGCAAGCAATAGTGGCTATCAAAACCGTTCCTCATGATTATTGAAGCATTCACTATACAAAGAGTTAAAAATACAAACTTAATGTGATCCTCTCCTATTCTGGCAGCTCCACGAAGAGGAGGCAAAGAAGCTGAGGGACTCTCTGGAGACGCAGCAGCAGGAGGCACAGCAACGTGAAGAGCAGCAGCATAAAGAAGCCTTGGAAAAAGTACTCTTCCTAAAATATACAAACAAATGTTTGCGACATGATGTGCTAAGTATATTCTGCCATTTAGGTGCACAAAACAATAGAGGAGGAGAGGAGGAAGTGGGAGGCAGAGAACGAGGAAGACTTGCAGATGCACTGTGGGAAACTACAAGAGCAGAACAGAAAGAGCCTGGAGAGCATGAGGGGTGAGATGCAGCGGGAGAAGAGTAAAGCACTGGCTCTCCAACATAAAGTGGTGGAACTAAAAACTGTAAGGTGACCCCAACACTGACAACATTGCCATTTTAAATCAATCGAAATGTGTCCTGATTACATTGTCTTTCTTTGATTGTTTTTGCAACTGTAAGAGCGTGCAGGAGATGGAGAGTGAGAGCTGTGCTCAGCAGAGGGAGCAGGAGTCTGTGACGGCTCTGATGTGCCAAACCCTGAAAGAGCAGCACCGGGCTGAGCTGCAGAAGATGCAGACGCAGATGGCACAGGTGCAAGAACACCACAGAAAGCAATCATGTGGCGGCACATAGAGAGTGTGGTGCTGTAGAAAAAAGCTGACATGGTGTGATCTGTGCTCACAGGAGAGTCAGAGGGCAGAGAAAGAGTCCGACGGGCTCCGGATGATGCTGGGAGAAAGAGAGAGCAGCCATCACCAAATCACAGCTGAGCTACAGCAGCGGCTCAGGCACTGGAGCCAGGAGCTGGGAGCAGAGAGCCAGCATCTACAGATCTTACTGGAGCAGAGTGGAGAGGGACAGAGCTCTGTGCTACTACCCCACAGGTAGCCCTTACTATCCCACTGTGGTTTACACACACATCTGGTTTGCAAAGCATACTTTTGAGGTTTTTATGTGCTTCTATTTCTGTATTGTGCAGTCCCACATCAGCCGAGGCTCTTATAAACCTGAGGACACTAAGAGAGCAGTTGAAGCATTTGATTAACCATCTACAGCAGGAGCTTCATTCGCAAAAACAAACCACTGAGCAGCTGAGGAAAGAGAAGGTATCATTAAGACTGTCTGGTGATTTTAAATACAGCCCATTAAATGTGTACATGAATACAAGTCCATGCTTTTTCAGGAGAGAGAACTGAGCGTCCAGAGGCAGCAGCTGAGGCTGGACAGAGACCAAGCCTTGGATTCTCTAAAGGAGCGTCTCATTCAGGTGTGAACCTATGCACTTAGTAAAGCTCATGTATGTGTACATCACTCAGAGCGTTATTAATGAACATCAGCTGCTTCTGCAGGATCACATCGAGGAGCTGAGCAGTCTGAACTGGCCTCATATGTGTGATGGAGGAGCTGACGGAGGAGGAGTGGCAGCTTCTCTCCGCAAACAGCTGGGGGCCAAAGACCTGGAGCTGAGGCAGGTGCAGAGGAGCATGGCTCAGTGGAAGGAGCACACTGCGGCTCGTCTGGCCTGCAAGTTTGAAGAAGAGTTGACCGCTGAACTGGAGAGGTAACAAATTCAGCAAAGAAAGAGGAATCGCTTTAAGCAGTGACTTCCATGCTATTTGGAGATGCAAACAGAAATATAGCATTCAATAGAAGTCAAAGAATGTTCTGCTCTTCCATGTTTAAGTTTGCCTCAAATCTTTGCTATCCCACAGGTGCAAGACAAAGTTGTTAAGGGGCAGGTAACTGGTGTCTGATGACATACTGTCTGTCCTCTCAAAAGCATGATCCCGCCTCAACTCACTGCAATACGCGCCTTATAGGATGTAACATAACCTTTGCACGCTAACTCATAACTCCGTCATATAGTAATGAGATTTTGTAACAACCAACATTTCGTAAATGCAGGTGTGTTTGTTTTCCAGAAAACCATCAAAGTCTCGTGAGGAGAGACCGACAGAGCCCGAGAGGCCTGACGGAGAGCTGACGCTTAGTGCAAAGGTTTATGTACTGTTCCTGTGTAACACTAGGCTCTAACAGAAACCTATCCTGAATACATTCATTATTCATTAATACCGCCTGTCTTTTCCCTATCAGGAAGCTCAGACACCAGCTTGCTCTCCATGGCTCCATGTTGTGGACCCTGCTGCCTCCCACAGCCCCTCAGACGTGGCTTCATTCAAGCTTCTGCGTTTCCTCCAGAGCCGAGTGAAGCAGCTCCGTGTAGAAAACCAGACCTACAGCTGGAGCCCATCGCCTGCAAACACTATCCCTTTAGATTTATCAGGATCCTATCTTACAACAGTGAGTACGTGTCTTAATAGCCACTAACTGCACTCACAGTGGTAATAAACAAAACAAGTACAGGCAGAAGTACGTACTGCATCTAGAAGCACCACAGGAACAAGAAGCATCATCCCAAACAATCTGCTTCTCCTCAGAGGCATGCTGTCGCAGAAAAATAAATCTGAAAGTACTTTAACACATACAAAATGACTGTAATGTGGTTTTATCATTCAGATTTCAATACTATCTCTGTGTTGTCCTCATATTGTTATAAAATGTAATACCAGTGTCTCCTTTACAGATCAACCAAAGTCAGGGCGTTGCTGGTAATATAAGTCACTGAACCGTCAGGACAGTCTCAAGTAAAGGACACCTTACAAACACCATGTGTTGCATTTAAAGCGGTTTCTGTGGCAACATAAATGAATCATTTACTGTACATGTGCTAAAGATTTCAGATTAACAAGCAGGTCACAGTGACAAATGACACAACCGAAGAGTTGATCATGAAGTTCACATTCCTCGGTGTGAAGGCTGTCAAGTTTTATAGCTTATGGTTGCAATGAACTCTGAATGAGCGATGAAGTGACTTTTCACTGAAAATCATGTGAGCAGATTTCAGAGAACCTCGTAAAGCAGACGGGTCCTTGAAGGGTTCCTATGTATAATCATTCATGTTCAATTACAATAAAATGAAATACAAAAGAAACGTTGAGTAGATTTCTGCCCCGTTCAAACTATTGGTTGCATTTACTATAACTTCTTAAATACCTTTATTAAAATATCTTAACTTCATAAAATAATCCACTGAGACTTTGTTTGATGGTTTCCCTATAATCACTTCTGCTATCACACATGCAGTCTGTTTTCTATTTGTTATCCATGCACACACTGCGTTTTTCATAAATAAAGATCACAGGGCTCCAATTGACCTTGAAGTGGCATTGGTTAGTTTTCAATGTAGATTTGTCTTACACATTGGAGACTGTAGAACCCAAAAAGTGAATAAGTAATTGATAAAATCCTACTAAGCTAATCGTCCTAAATACAGGAATCCTGAAGTCAAATGTAAAACCTTTTTTAAGACCTTTTTTAAGACCCTTTCCATACATTTTAAGACCTCATCGCCACTTCGAGTTCTAACCGGTTACATTAGCGACACACTTTACCTCACATGTACTATATACAGTATTGATTGTCCTTCCTCCTTATCTTCCAACCATTTGGACGCAAACTTGCATTTCCCCATAACGATGTTGTTTAACAACCGGCGTAAACGGACCTTCGCGCGCTATCAAGCAGTGAGCGTGTGATGTCCTGTTCAGATGACGTCAAATCCAACGGGATGCCATAAATAAACTACACAGAATCACACTACACACCTACGCAATGATTACATTCAGGCAGACTGTAGAATACAACCTCTTTGGACAATTTATATACTTATTGAAAACAAGATACAAAATGTAATACCTTGGAAAATGCCGTTTAATACTTTTTTATAGCCTTAATTTTCGCTAAATTGATTTATCAACTTTTAATACTTTTTAAGACCCCGCGGACACCCTGTAAATATACAATATATGTATTTATGTATTGTTACTTGTTGCGGTCCATAGAGGTTAATCCTTGAAACCCTACTCTTCCCAATACGGCATGTAATGATGAAATCAACACAATATACATCCAACCAAAAATGGACATCTCTGGAAAACGTAAGAGTTTATTGAAAAACAAACAAGGTCATAACACTCGATGGCTAGTTGCAATTCTGGTAATGGATATATACAGTATGAAAATACAATCAACTCATTAAAGGTGCATTTCCATGACTTCTTTACTTACTTGCTAACAACTATGGGTGGATAATATTCCTACCACAACAACAGCGAACAGGAAGTCATGCTATGAGCAAACATGAACACACAAACTAACTTTTATGTCCTGGTAAATGCCAGAAGCTAAACATAGAAAAACTGTACAAAGCTCAGGTGCTGCACACTGAAGTTTAACAAAGATCAAAGTTATTTACAGTACATCAGTGAGTTGTTGGAGAAGATTTGGCAAAAAGGCTGTACAAAGGATGTCACTTCTAAGGGCAAAGGTTCATTCTGTAAGTCATATAAAACCAGTTGGGTAAGGCTGCCTATAGAAATGCATCTTGACATCATGTCTTGAGATTTAAATGAATAAAACTAGGTACGGTCAGCCTTATTGTTACACCTTTCATATAGTTGATTGGGGTTATAGTAAAAAAAAAAAACTCAACGGCGTGACTGTAAAGCAAAACGTGACATATTGATGTTAAGCCGAACTGGTGGTTCCAAGTCCTTCATAGTCTTCTGTCGACTTCATTTCAAGTCTTTTACTTTGGCATGCTGCTCGATCATCAAGCACCATTACATCTCCATGTCCTCCTCTCCAGAGGTGAGGGCTACAGGGAAGCTGTACAGAGCGGAGTGTGTGTCTGCAGGCGGGCTGGAGGCGCTCAGGGGGGGGTGAGGGGTGGGAGATGGACAGGGAGTCGGGGGGAGCCGAGACACAGTCTGCTTTTTATGCTGTTTCTGTAAAGAGACCTTTCGCTTCCGACAGAAGGGATCTTCTGGAGGCCGCCACAACACCAGCTCCATGCAGGACTGGCTCCTGAAGAGACATGAGGAGCACTAGGTGAGATTTTATGATCATTTAAACTCCTACATTTAAAATAACGTAATTTTACTCCACTACATGTATTTAATAGCTTTAGCTACTTTTAGCACAATGCATCTCTTAAATAGAAACTAGTGGACTAACTCTTTTACAAAAAGTCAACCAGAACTATGTTTGTCTACAACAGTAACATGCTACTTGATGCAACAATACTATCTAGAAATATCACATTTATAAATATAATTATATACACATGTAAAGGCCATTTTTCTGCCCAAAACATGTTTGTACTTTACGTGCATTTTGCTGATAATACTTTTGTACTTGTATGCAACAGCAGAACACGAAGCCTATAACTTCATGAGACATTAAGCGTTTTAATAACAGAATGAGGATACGTACACAGACTGGGCCACTGTGTGCGGCAGGATGTCACTGATGCCGCGCTGCAGACCCTCCTTCAGACTGTCGGACATCACCAGCACTGGTCGTCTGGGGGCAGGCTCTACATCCAGATCCTCATCCTCATCGTCATCCTCCAGCGTTATCCTGTGATACATGATCACAGTATTTGCTTAATGCCAACAGTCTGTTATGATGTCAACTTTGCGTGTGATAACAACATATACTGTAATACTATCACCACCTCTGAATGGTGAAACAAGCTCATGACACATAAGAAGTTGGACCGCTGTTGGCAAGACAAGTAACGACAATATTGAATGGTCACACATGTATATAGTTTCTGAAGTTACACTTAAAAAAAAACCTTAAAACAAATGAGAGTATATTAACTTTGTTCTATTTTAAAGCAGAATATGTCAGCCTAATAAAAGTCAATTCAGTGGATAATCTAATCAGTAACACATTTGTGACCTTTCCAGGGTGACAATTATCTGTGAACATTTACACCTGAATTCATAAGTGTGTTAAATTGCAATACAGCACTTAATCATTTCACAGTGTGTCCTATTAACACAGGATGTCTAAGAAATGTGTAATATCTGGGGGCTAATTGGAGGTAGGACTTTTCTTTATAAGGTGTGAGTGAGAGGTCTAATTCTACCAAGTGAGCAGTCAGATAGTTGGTGGCTTTTTGGTGCCTCTTGCATACCTGTCTTCGATCTCCTGTAGTCTCCTCTGAGCGGCCTCTATCTCCATGCAGGAGCCCTCTGGATCGGGTCGGGGCAGCGTGGAGGAGGGCTGCGGGCTGTGGGGCGCTGGGCAGGGCTGTGGGGGGGCAGAACTGCTGGGCTGTGCAGGCAGAGGAGGGCGGCTGGGCGCTGAAGGCCAGTCATGATGAGAGCTAGTGTTGGAGTTCTCTGAAATGTCCACTTCTGCCTCGAACATTAACCTCCTCCTTTTGGCACTGCATCCTCTGAGATAAAAGCAAGATATTGACTTATTTTGACTTTCAAGGCATTGTGAAATGGTAAGTAAAACTGTTTTGCATATTTTACTTACTCATCATCAACTCTCCTCCTGTGCTTCCTGAGGCATCTCGTCTCCCAGCTGCTTTGGGACAGAGAGACAGGTGTGTTAAGACACTATATACCGCCGTTCAGATTGAAAACATATTTCCCATGTTGCCATTGTATTTATGAAAAAAAGTGGCACCCAGGGCCGTGGGAAGTAGGGGTGCTGAGGGTGCTGCAGCACCCCCTTGATGGAGGACAGGGAATCTGCACGTCCACAAGATTAAATGGAAATATAATACAAAAAACACGAATTTTCAGCCTTGATGTAACAACATTCATAATTAAGTAAAGATAACACCCTTTTCACCCCGGTTACATTTTCCATTTGCCCTGTACGATGGGCGATGTAAGTGATGAAAGTGGGGGATGTTGGCTTATCAGGCGCCCGCAGCTCACAGCCAAAGTGAGAGAGAGAGACAGAGAGAGAGGGCGCACCGGTACCAGCGGGGATTGTTGTTAGCTTCTGTTGCGCTAACGGATAAAAGAAGCTGTTTCTACAATAATGTGGAGGGAGAGCTCTCTCCTGCAGACTGAGAGGCTGATAACTACAGCTCAGTGAGGTAAAGGACTCTGAGGGTTTAGATAGTTCACTTTAGTCTAAGTTATCTCAGTGGGTCTCAAACGGTTTGATCACAATTTATGTAAACAAATATTTCCAAGGCACTCCTTTATAATTATTAGGATAAATAACAACAGGTTTGAAATCATTTCAATGTATACTATAGGACAGTAAACCATCGTTTAAAACTGGAGATATTAGAAAATATGCATAAATAAATAAATGTTAACTAGGTAAAATAAGATATGAATGAAGAACAAAAATAAAACAAGTTACATTTATTTGTTATTGGCTATGGTAGGTTATTGGTTATGTTCACATACTCATTTGATTATTAAAATATAAACCAATCTTTTCCATATGGGTGTTTAGAGTTGTACCCCCTAGATCTAGTCTCTAGTAATTCTGCTCAAAGTGCACCAGATTGAAGCATTTTACTTTAGGGCAGCAAATTGGTCAGAACCAGCCCTGGTGTCATCCCCACAGCACCCCCCATTTGAAACATGTTCCCACGGCTATGGTGGCACCTAATAGTTTAACTTATTCATCAGCACTAACAATGCATCAGCACTAACAATATTCTTGCTTGTTTGAAGTGAATATGTCAGCACTTTTCTTATTGACCTTAGTTTGAAACTGTATGGTTTATTGCATTTAATTCGGTTTGGATAAAAGCGTCAACTAAATGCAATGTAATGCCAGATGCAAGTAGGGAATGTACACTTGCCAGAGCAGCAGCTACATACCTGTTAGACAGAGGTGCTCTCTGTAGGTGGCCAGAAGTACTTGGAGATCCGAGGTCAAATTCAGGATAGCTTGTGGGGCCTGAAAACGAATACATGGCTGGCAGAAACCCCAGCTCACTGCGTGGGGAAACAAGGTGATACATGAAGATACACAAGGGTCGATAGCCATAAAATATTGACACTAATCAGCTAAACAGTTGGAGAAATTGTCTTTTACCTACGTCGCACAACAAGGTATAACTCAGTGTGCACATGGACAGCTCGCTGGTTATCTAGCTAGCTACAACGCCACTGTTGCCTGTAACGCTACGGGTAAAATGGCTATAATTAAACCATGACACGGTAATACACAATGACAGATTTATCCCTACGCTGAAAATCAACTTTGAATAACTAAACCAGATATGTAACGTTAGTTTTAGTCATTATAGACCGACCTGTGCAGCTGCTCTGCCCCTTCGTCTTGTTGTTGTTGTTGAAAGCTATCTTCAGTTTCCCCTTTGGAATAATCCCATTAGCTCGCGACAACAGGCTCTACATGGTCTCACCGACATTACACTGATAACATGTTAACGCAGAAATAGCTTCCACATAACAAAAAGTCCTTATGGGGTGAAGTGCTTGAATGGTAGGCTGGGTCAATCTGACGTTAGCTTGCTATTCTTAAAAAGTGAGTAGCGTTAAAACTCGCCGAGGTTCCATAAAGTGCGTGTTACGTCAGGTGCATTGTGGGAATTGTAGTTACGGAGGACAAACGATTCACAAGCAGAGGTTGGGAGTCACTAAAAAGTAGATTTCCTCAAGTACTGCTTTGAGGTATTTGTACTTTACTTTAGTATTTCCATTTAAACGTATACCCTTCTACATTTAAACGGGAAATAATGTAATTGTATACCACTACATGTATTTAACAGCTTTAGCTACTTTTAACAAAATGCATCTCTAAAAATGTAACTAGTGGACTAACACTAAGTCACGAAAGAGTCAAATAATTTGAATATTTTAGAAAGTAATTCAGAACTTTGTTTGTCTACAACAGTAAAATGCTACTTGATGCAACAATATTTTCTAGAAATGTATGCACAATTATTACTTTTTATACTTTAATTACATTTTGCTGATAAAACTTTTGTACTTTTACTCAAGTAAGATTTTGAATGGAGGACTTTAACTTGCAATGGAGTATTTTGACAATAATGTATTGGTACTTTTAGTCAGAAAAAGCCTCTAAATACTACACCACTGCTTACAACAGAGTCTGTGTTAATATACACAAGACACGTTAACAAAGTGGTGTTTTGTTGAAACGTTAGCACTAGTTGTTGCTACTTACCTTGGCAAACATGAGTTAAAATGTCAGTTTCCAGATACTGACTGGATTTGTGTAAAGCAAGATAAACACCTATTCTTGTTTTGTATGCTCGTATTACCGAAGAGAATATGTGATAACAAGATAGTTACCTCAACATCCCGATTATAGTCCGGCCCACAGCCTGTGTTTAAAAGCGTCCCACTTGCTTTTATCATCGCGTTGTCATCTCAAATGACCGGTCATGTGACAGAGTGAAATACTATTTCTGAGCTGTTTTCTCTGCCTCTGTTCTTTACTCGGCGTTTATTCTTCACACTGGAATCGTTCCTGATGAGGTCAGACACTACTGTTTACTGCATGTAAAAGCTTACAAGCTAATGACTTATCTGCTGTGATACTGTTTTAATTACGATCTTATCATATTTACAGCAAATCGCTAAAAAATATGTATATGTGCCTTATCCTTATATGTATTGCAATTATTTTCATATTTAGGGTTTGAAATCTGTTTACCTGCCTTCCTCAGATGTGTGAAAACGGGATTGCTAAGAAAAGTTTCTGGATCATTTTACAGTATCTGTGTTGTTATCTTAACCTATGAGGCATTTATATTTATGTATTTCCACTGTTTGTATTATCCAACAGGTTGCACAGAATGCTGTCTTTAGTAATAGTCGCAGGACTACTGGCTTTTGCCTCTGGTAAACCATGTAGTAAGTATTATTATATTTATATAAACAAATCCAGTTTCATCAACTCATTTGAACCCTGGAAACCCCAGATGACCAAATACTCTGATTCACTGAGTTGGACAGACACTGATTTTGCAATCTGTATAACCTTCATATTGCTTGCTCTTTGACAAAAGTTGTGTAATTGAAAAATTCCATAGACCTGTGGCACCTTTTTGGTCTTTTTAGTCATGTGGGTAAGATATCAAGGACACTGACAATTGGATATTTGAAACCTTTTTCTAAACACATATCAAATGTTCACAAGTCATTGTTTCCTGTTCTTCTGACCGCTGATGCTGCAGTTCTGATTTTGCAATGCTCCGAAAGTTCATGTTGATGTCAGCAAGATACTCAAGTATTTTTTATGTCTGCGATCAACATTTCTAAGAAACATTTTTTCTTCCAGAAACTCAAACATCTAATATTGAGCTGCACATGTCACTCAATAAAAACCTCCTTCGCTCTCTGGAGACGCAGGAAGGACTCCCCAATCCCAGTGTCCACTTGGCGTTACGGCTTTCTAACTTCCACAACCTTGCCAAGGAGAGCGAACACCTAAATAAACTGAAAAATGATTTGCACAATGACATTCAAAGGTACTGCAGTTTGACACAACAAATTGCTTGCCATTCTAAATCTGTGTGTCCACTGAACTGATGTTTTCTGTGATGTTCTCACCTAAACCTAAGTCACTGTGTCTTTCTCAGCTCTCTCTCTAACAGCCAGTCGGTGGTGGGCCTCTTGTCGCTGTACACTCTGGCTTTGAAGTCCTCCTGCTATGACCTCAACACAATCACCTTCACCGCCGGTGAGAGGAGTGAGACGCTGCTGACACACCTGAAGAAGCAGATGGAACAAGAAAAAGAGCATATTGCCTGTAAGTAAAGCAGAGTTTAAAGTTTATTTAGTGTATATATTTCATGTTTTAATATAACATTTTATTTGTATCCCTCCTCTCCTTTGCACAGTCAGCCACCGCCCTTTGACCAACTATTACCAGTACTCTCTGGGTGTGATCGCTCTTTGCGTGAGCGGCATCAGGGTCAACCACCATGTCAGCAACACACTCATCAAGGCAGTAGAACATGAGCAAGTCAATGACACTGGTGAGTGTATTTGTAAAAGGAATCCGCTAGTTGGTAACAACCCTAATTTCTTTTTTTGTTTTTCTTACGTTTCAAGTTCATATTTTTCTTCGGTCAATTACACATATGTTCTCCTCTTTCTCTCCCTAGATACCTGTGCCATGGCTGGAATGGCCCTCCAGTGTGTGAAGGACGCTGGTTCTCATGTGCATAACGCTGCGGAGCTTGACACAGCCCTCAGCAAGATCAAGCAGAAGCTCTTGGCCTCGCGTAGGAACGACGGTCATATTGGCAATGAGTTCAGCACAGGCCTTGCAGTCCAAGTAAGAATATTTATTTTTCTATTTCATGCATAAAACGTTAAACAACTAAAATGTTGCAGTCTTGATGTACTTATTTTCTGTCATTGTTTCCAAGGCTTTACTGGCCATGGGGAGCCCCGTTGCAGAGTGTGCTGCCTCGATGGAGGCCATAAGGACAGACGCCAGAAACAACAAATACCATAACGCCATGGCCATTTCACAGGTTCTGCCAGCTCTTCAGCAGAAGTCATACCTGACAGTTAAAAGCAAGGAGTGTCTCAATGAGGATGGTATGAGCAGCATTATTTCTACCCCGTGTTCACCATGATTTAAAAGTCTCCTATCATGCTATTTGTAGGCATATATCATAGGTCTCAGATATATAAAAAACATGTCTGAAGTGTTTCGCTCAAAATACCAAACAGATCACCCATTCTAGCCATGCCTCATATCCCTTTATTTCAGCCCTGTTACTAAAGTGCTGATTCGGGGTATAAAGCTTTAAAAAAAATATATATATATATATATATATTGAAAAAAAAAAAAAAGAGGGGGTGGAGCTTATGAATGTGTTCAAAGCCAGCCCACATTTCCGATATTACGTCATATCGGCAGCAAATCTGGACCAGCTCCGTTGTACCCCCTTTTTTAGAGATTTGAGCACGGAGGAAAAGAGAGAGGGTTTTATTTTCTAACACTTTGTGAGTTCCCTGACACACCGGGCAGGGAACACATATTTATGTATTAAAGACATCAAAAAGTGCATTTTGCATGATAGGTCCCGTTTAAATCTGTTTCTGTTCTCGGCTGTGTCATGGTGTGTATTCTATTAGATACTCTGGTGCTGGAGCCCATAGATCCGGTGGTGGTTTTACCGAGTCAGACCAAAGTGACAGTGACGGTGGAGGTGGTGACGTCCAGCGGAGCAGCTGCTCTTTACTCTGTGGAAGTGCCAAAGGGAAGCTCTCTGTTGGAGGCCCTTGAACTTCTCAAGATTAAAAATGTTGGATTCACGTGAGTTCATATACTGTGTTATTGTGCTTCTCAGTTTTTTATAGCTTACAATAATTCATGATGGGTTTAATTGAGGACCATTTGATGTTGTTTGGCAGGTTTGACAAAGAGTCCAGTCTGTGGGGACCTTTCTTAAGCGTGGTGAACGGAGAGCAGGCGAGACAGAGCGACCGCAGATACTGGCACCTCTCCTCTGATGGCACTGCGCTCGGCGAGGGTAAACACACCTAAACACAAACATCACATACCACACTGTGACTCTTAAATAGAGCATACCCTTCATTCTGTGATCTGTGGCTTTAATTTCACTCTGTTTTTTTATCCCATAGGTATCATCGATTTCAAGATTGATGGGGCTCAAAAGATCACCCTCAAAAACACCATCTACTGAGAGTGAATCACTGCTGATGCAACAGTGATTTATGAAGATCAAAAGAAATTCAATTTTGTTCTCTTTTAAACCGGTGATTATACTTAAAATGATAATACTTAAGATCCCATAAACTGTGAATAATTAGTCGGACTGGTTTCATAGAATTTTTGCATTTCAAGTAGGTTTGAAGCTTGAAAGAAAAATTTAATTTCAAACTAATTGAACAGAAAATGAAAATTCTTGCTTTGGTATGTAAATTGTTAAGCTTTTTTTTTTAAATAATGGATTGTTAAATCAGGGATGAATGTGTTTTCCAATATCTTACAAAGTGTGCTTGTGCTTTTTTCAAACAAATAAAAACAAGTTTCTAATAACGAAGACTTTCTATAAGTTTGTGTTTTTGTTACAAACAAAATTATATTATTATTATTATTATTATTATATTATTAGACCTGTTAAGAAGAGAGCCGAAACAAAACTTTGGCATTTAGTTATTTCCTAAAGCTGACATTGTAGGTTACAGTTGGGAAAGTTATTTTATTGAATGCCAAATGATCAAATGTAATAACTACATTTCTTTTCATTCAAATATTTTTGGGAAAAGAGCTGTAAAGCTTGTCATTTTATTCACAAAAACAATGGGAAAAAAAGAACATTTCAATATGTTGATAGAATAGTTTTTCTGCAATAACAGAAATAAAGTGCTTTATTTATGAACCTCAACCCTCTGGGGAATCTGAAGTACTTCCGGTTTGTAATTTTTCTCTAAAATGATTAGTTTACTTACTATAATAAACAGTGTTGTATAAACACACAATGCAGTCCTCTCTATATCTGTACGCTAAAA